AGACATAGCAAGACTCTCCCTGAAGTTCTCACAATCTAAATAGACAAGACATACAGGGAAGAGAACTGAAATGCCACATTCTCACACAGGATGTCCATGACTGAATCAGGAATTGAAACCAGTCCCCTTGAGTACCACAAGAACATCCCTTTTATTACTACTATACTCAGCACTAGGCTAATTACCTTTCCCTTCCATCTGTCCCCTGTTCTCTGTGTTTTGTTTGGTATTTTAAGAGGGTTGTTTTACATTACGTTTCCATAATATTTACTGATTTTGTCAAGCACTCTACGCACCTTCACATGTTGGGGGGGCTGCTTTAATAATTAATTTTGTATTAATAATAACATTTATTAATTATTAAAACCATGTCTAAGTTCACACTTGTGTCCTGGCAGCAGTTCCCCAGACTGTTAGCATAGCATTACTGAGCATGCTCTCTGAGCCTGCCTGTGAAAGCAGCTCCACTAGGAAACCTGTGCCCCTGCTCTCCTCCTGCGCACAAGATTATTTCTGTTTTCAAAATGGGGCACCACCCCCACCATTCCTACTCCCTCTCAATTCAAATGACACAGCTTCATGCAGTGTGGAGGAGACACACCACCCTTTATGAAGTGGGACAGGGTGATCATCCACTCACCCTATAAGTATCAGAGGGGTAGCCGTGTTAGTCTGAATCTGCAAAAGCGATGAGGAGTCCTGTGGCACCTTATAGACTAACTGAAGTGTAGGAGCATAAGCTTTCGTGGGCAAAGACCCACTTCGTCAGATGCAGCTTTCGTCTTTGCCCACGAAAGCTTATGCTCCTACACTTCAGTTAGTCTATAAGGTGCCACAGGACTCCTCATCGCTTTCACCCTATAAGTGTAATTAGACCTGTAGACTCAAAGACTACAAGAAGGGACCATGATGATCATCTAGTCTGACCTCCTGCAGATTGTGGAGGACACAACCTCCCCTAAACACCATGGGAAGAGGAAGTAGCTGACCCAATTGTTGTTATTTATTATTATTTAAGAATTTCAAAATTGTCAAAGGAAAAAGGTGAGGCCTAAAAATAATAATACCTAGCTCTGATCTAGAACTTTGCATCAATAGATTTCAAAGTGTTTTACAATGAAAGTCAGAATCATCATCTCCATTTAACAAATGGAGAAACAAAGACACGGGGCTGGGACATGACTTACCCAAGCCAACCTAGTGGCAGAGGCTGGAAGACTCACAGGCCAATACTTTATCCACTAGACTGCACAGCCTCCCCCATGTGAGAGGGATTACTTTGATCCCATTATCCCATAAATGGCTAGCAGGTCTGCCTCTTAACAATATATTTTTCTGTGGGAGCATTGAGTCTGTTCTGCCTGCAAATGGGGAGGGTTAGTAGCTTCCAAATGCAGACACATCCACTGCAAACACCAACCAATGCTGCTCTCACACTGCTAACCATTTATGTTAGAGCCCCTTTCTATTCTTATATGGATTTCTGAGGTTTAATGCAGTGATATCCTTATGAAAGGACCTGTACAGTTGTGAAGTTGGTCTAACAAGAGGTAGTGGCATGAATCCAGACATTGGGAAAATGTAGTTAGAGTTTGGAAAACCTTTTTATAAATGAGGTCACTTAGCCAAGGTCCTATTTCCCTAGGGACATCACTACGCCAACAATAATAAAGAGTTCAAGAGCAGCTGAATTAAAAAACAGAGGGGAGAGTTATGAAGAGGACAATCCAGAGGTAGTGTGGAAGAAAAGGTTAGAAATATAGCTGCTAGATAATGACCTATGACTCACAAATGGCAAATATAGCACGAGGTGATCTCAGTACTTTGTTTTGTTAACTGAATTCTTCTAGCATGACAAACTCTGCCCTGCTAATTCAGGGAAATAATTCGAGTCCTGCATGGATACAAAATTGGTATCCGCATTTGCATTTGCAAAAATGATCCATGGATGTCTGCAGTCACAGCCACGAATTATGCAGGGTTCTAGATACAAAATTTCTATCTGCACCCCTCTCTGCAAAAATGAGCTGCAGAAATCTGCATCCACATCTGCTGATGCAGATACCAATGTATATAAAGCAGATATACTGTAGGGAGGAAGGAATCACACAAAACCTTTTTGTGGCTCTCTTTTGTCTTCTGGATGTCTTTGCCAGGGCTGCTCACTGAAGATAATAGGTGGCAAACAGCAACTTCTGTTTGCTTGGGTGAAACAGTGGAACTTCCAGTCACCCTGAAATTCTTGCTCTGCCACATTTATTCACTGCTGAGCCAACAAGCTGTAGATTTCCCTCCTGACTTTGAAAGAAAACTTAAGTCTGGAGTGGCTGCTGCAGCAGAAAGATTAGAAGATGGGCCTATAAAACGAAATACACTACATGTGTATGAGAAAAATAGATATGGGCATGAGGGGAAACATGCTTTTTTGATCCTGAAAAGACAGCATGCATAATTTCATACGGAGACTGTGTAAGACCTCATTCATACACATGAAATTGTATGCCATTTCAACGAGACTCCTAAACTGTGTCGAAAGTGAGCTGGAAGAAGCAAGCACAACATTGTTACACTGGAATAAAAACAGGTGCAGCATCTTAAATAAACAGCAACATAAAAAAATAAAATACATTTGATTTTCTTTCTGCATTGCATTAATTGCAACTACATAATTAATTATAATTTAATAGCACTCTAGTATTGTCTTATTTGGTATGACACCTTTTGTACAAACTGTTTCTTACAGGATTAAATATTACAAATCACGTACAGTATAAATAACAGAAAATAGTGTTCACTAAATGAAAAATGTATTAAAACACAGGCTCACTTCATTGGGAACATTCATGAGAGTAAGTGATTTGGGATTAAGCCGTTAATTAATTAAAATAGGATCATATGCTAATAGACATCTGGTTGTTGCTTTGCATTTTCTCTGAAGCCTTTCCAGGCAAATTTAGTGACATGATACAATATTAAGAAATTTTTCAGTAGTGTAATCCAAGACAAAGCTCTAACTTCTTCAAGGCAGGCAAACAAAACCCGATATTTAATTTGAGTGTAGTGGGGGCTAATCAGGATCATGGGACCTGAGTCTTTGATGCACACAGCTGTCATATGAAGATAAATAAAGAGCATGCTGATATGTGGAAATAAGCTAAGACAAAGTGGTGTTTATTCATAATGGATCTGATCCTGCAGGAGCTGTAGATGCAGGAGTCAAGTTGAAGGCAGTGTGAGTTTTGCCTGAGTGAGGACAGCAGGACTCAGCTTATTATGCATATAAAACAAGATTGTACACATTTCTACAGTATCATGTACATCTAGTTAAATTCTGTGCTTTCCAAATATCGCACATAATAAATCACACACAGAAAAATCTAGTGCCTAAGTCATTTCATGCACGTTATTAGGCAATTATTGGAGACTTGACCAATTACAGTAGGTCACCTTACCCTAGTTATTAAATGACAGTGGTCATTAAAATGCCAAACATAGTTTGACAGACTTCACTTGATAAAATGTCAAAACGTCTGTGTTTTTATTAGTTGCTTCCAAATCAATTTAGAAATTTCAATGGAATGTTTGTAAGTATTCCCAAAGCAATGTCCATTTCTGACTTTCTGTGTGCACACAAAAATATTACAAATTAATCAGATTTCTGCATAATGGCTCTGCACATTTATTGCCTAATCCCATTATAAAATGCTGTTATGATTGACACATTGCGGTAGAGATAGAAGTCAATTGAATAATATGTAGCAGTCAATTTTATTTGTACCTTAATGTGATGAAGTATTTTTTTTTCACATTTCCATTATTTATAAGTCTGTCCCCTTGGAGAATATATAGAAGACTTTGTTTTAAATGAGCTGATACTACCTTCTTTAAAATTTATAAGTATGACCAGAATCATATCCTTTTTTTCTATCGCAGACCATGGCACACCAATAAACTGGTTCTGAATTGTCTTGCACTTGCTATTCATAGGACAAACATTGGAAAAGGGGATCTTGTTAAGGTTTACTTAGAATTGGATTTCAACCATCCATCAGAAAAAACAAAAGCTACTGTACAGAGCAGAAATCCTAAAATTGTAGCCAGGGATTTTCTTTATTTAAAACTAGTGCTCCATCTGCTGCATTTGCTACTTGCTGTCATTTCCTTCAGACACAGAAACAAAAAAATGGGCCTGATCCTGCAATCCTTCTGAAAAGAGTTGTGAATCAGTGGAAGTTCTGTCCTAGCAGGGACAGTAGGAATGGAACTTAAGTTTGAAAGTCGGTCGACCGTTGGTTACCATTATTAGGGTGGTTTTCATATCTCTTCAGTGATCTGCAGCAAACTCTAGATAGTGCCATTCTGAAAAATGTTCTGTGCTCAGCTTGTTTAATTCAAGCAAGTAGTTAATGCTGGGGTTTGATTGTCTCACGTAGCACCGACATGCCTTGGTTATGATAAGCTCTGCTTTACTATGTACAATTAGTGCTGTTTAGAAACATGTTTGTGCTTAGATTTTGTAACACCTTGTATTCCAAGCAATACAGGTTTCTCTGCCGGGGGTGGAGGGGAGGAGGGGAAAAGGGGGAAGAGAGACTTATATTAAGGTACAAAGTAGATGAGACTTGATTGTATCCCAGATAATTTTTGCTTTGAGAAATTAGAATAGCTGTTGTTCACCTAAGCATAAAAAATGCAGTTGACATCCACGTGGCGTATTCATGTACTGTATGTAAATTGACGTATAGTGCAACCCATATTAGCTGAGTTGATGATAGCTTCAGTTTCACTGCTGTCAGATTTCTGTATCTCTCTGAATGAGCTGGCTGGCCTGAATGAACATTAGCATAATTTATGCAGCTGATAAGTGATGTGAGTGCTGTGTTATTGATAAACCACTTTAGCATATCATTTGCAGCTTGATGTTATGTGACATCACAGTAAGATGTAATGTGCTGGTCCCTGGGCTAGATATTAAGGTAGAGCTTCTCTTTGAATTCTAGGGGCCAGAGGAAACCCAGTGCTGTCTGATACGGGCACAGCTGACCAGCATCAGCCCACTCAGTCCCATCCAGCATTTCCTGTTGGGCCCCAGGTCAGTATCTTTCATTTAGCCTCATTAAAACTGCAGTTTGAGTAAAGTAATTAACGGTGAATGAAAGTCACCTGTATAATATGGAAAATATGGTGATAAATTATTGGCTAAATTTTTACTTCACAAACATGGACAGAGTGGATATGGATGTGACACATATTTAAAAAAAAATTCGGTATGTTGTCTTGCTGAAAACAAACAAAAAACAAGCACACGAAGTTTGGTTCTCTGTGTTTTTCCTCTGAAAATGTAAATGGTTTGTGTGTTTATAAAATTATTTGAACCTTACATCAGTTAGCTTGGAAGTACAGGTCGTGATTTAATATAAAACCAGTCAATGTAATTTTAATGCATGTTTCACTTACTGGGTTTGACAATTCTAGACGTCACACACAGCTCCTGCATTAATAAAGAAATCCATTCACTATGTTAGAAAGCCAGATATTTGTATAGAAAGGTGTGGGTATTATACAGTTGTCCTGAACAATTAGAAAGTTCTTGACTTTCTGTGTCACTTTGTATAGCGATATCTTCATTCAGTCAATTGCCCTGGGAAGAGAAGCAGATATTTGATATTCCAGCCCACTCTAAGCATCCCTTGCATCCCATAGCTCCTAGACATGATTAATTTTGTAACTTCAGCTGCGGGAAGTGCTTGAGCTTAAATATTTGTAGATTTGGGTTGAATTTGGCCCTCATGAATTCATAAAACTATCTTTGGGGCATGTTCAGTAAATTCTTTCAATGTTGATGCAACTCAAGTCCAATTCTGACTTCAGAGATCAGAAGGTTGGATAGGATTACCAGGGTTTCTAGCCTCAATCATCAGGATCTTCAAGGCTTTTTCTGTTGGAGGAAGTATATGTTATTGCATTAGAAGTAGTGCATTGTAATTGCATGTGTGTGCTGTAACTCTACAGATGATCGCAGGCACACGTGGTACAGTGATTCCCATGAAGTTGTACAGTAAAATACATTTACCGTGTATGTTTCATTACAGCCACTACTGACTGCTCAACAGTTAGCCTCAGCAGTAGCGGGGGTGATGCCAGGAGGCACTCCAACCCTCAATCAACCTATCCTTATTCCCTTCAACATGGCTGGACAACTGGGTGGTCAACAAGGACTTGTCCTAACTCTGCCTACAGCTAATCTTACCAACATCCAAGGGCTGGTAGCAGCAGCTGCAGCAGGAGGCATTATGACTTTGCCGTTGCAAAATCTACAAGGTAAACCACATCAATCAGTACTTTCACAGGCCCACAAAAATGTGATTCTTGATGCCAAATTGTGATTGAAAATTCAAAACCTTTATTATTTTGGAATCCTGAAAATACATTGAAAGGAGAACATTGAGTGTCAGTATTCATATTTTTCCTTCTGCCGTACTATGAGAGCCTAGAAATACCTGATTGGTTTGTTCAATCATGCTGGCTAATGGATTTATTTCATTGTTCACTTTACATTTTAAATAGCATTGTGAACTTAAATAAGATGGATGAATGCAGAGGCGTAGTTGAGAGATGGAGGAAGAGTGAATGAAAAGGTGCAGCTAAAAGCTTAATATCATGATGTGATCATTTAAAAGTGTCTGTTGTTTAATTTTCATATCATAAAAGCATCCTTTCTGTCACTGATGACAGACTGTTCAGGGTGTGTATTGCTGTACCATAATCACGTGGATGGCAGTACTTTAGCCTTACATACCACAACAGTGTGCCTTTCAACTAACAGGCCCTCTAAGAGCAATCCAAGCAAAGTGGTGTCCACATTCCACTTAAAATTAGTTCCTACTTTCCACTGGTTCCTCCTAAAGCTAATTCTCTCACGACAGCTACTGAAATAAAGTGCAAAATGGGAGTCAGTTTAAAAAAAAAGAGGCTGTTACATCAAGTGCATGTTACACTTGCTGTGGCTGTTTTTGCCCTATAGGTGTGCATGGAGCTTTACATGAAAATTCAAGACCACAGCCCAGATTCTCAAGTGTGGTGCAACCGCTATAGGCTGTGCTACATAGCACGAGCACAATGCGACACCAATGATATCCTCTGGTGGCAGAGATGGTGTCTCTTGGCTGACAGTGTAGGGGGTGTGGCTGGAACTTCCCTACTCCACACTGTTCTCTGGCTGCCATTTCAGCTGCTTATGGCCACTGACTGCTGTTTAAATTTAAAACACACAGCACATCTGGTTCAGGACCAGAGGAATACAAAGTTCACCCATGCATCCCTTTTGTCCCCATGTCCTGAGCTGTACCGTGTGCTCCTCAGCCTTAGCAGATAATCTGGAGCTCGATCTCTGCCCCACTGTGTGTATGATTGTGAAGCCCAGCACAGTGAAATAAAATGTAACTGTTGATGTTCCGTAATGTTTGCTCCTGCCACATCCATGGGCCTTAACAATAGCAGGGCTGCAGTCAAGGAGTTTATCTTACATTAAATATGAAGGAATGTACTTATTATTCTCAACAAAGTTCATTGCTTCTTAGAATGTGGATGAGTTACACAATGAACAACAGGGAAATTGTTAGCAAAAAAAAACCTCTTTAAAATTGCAAGTGTAGCTTTAATGGTGGGGGAGAGATATATGAAGAAAGGTGATAGAGATGTAGCCGTGTTAGTCTGGTGTAGCTGAAACAAAATAGAGGACTATGTAGCACTTTAAAGACTAACAAGATGGTTTATTCGACACTCTCCGCAGGGGAATTAACAAAGACTCCAATTATCTCATCCATTACAAAGATAGCTTCCCCAATTATCACCTCTAATACTATTAACTCACAGACATTTCCCCTTCCCCACCTCTAATATCATTAACTCACTGGCATTCCCCTTCCTTTCTCCCCCCCGCCTGCATCCCCCTTCTGTTCTGAAATGTGATTTGTCCTTTTCATATGTGTTCATTTTTTTAAATTGTATCCTTTGGTATGTATGGTTGTGACTATTTTCTTCCACTATATGAAGAAAGGTGTGAGAGTGAAGACTCAAATGTAGCTACCATAAAACTCCAATAGTCTGGCATCCAATAGTCTGGCACATCAAAATGGCAAGAGCCTAGTGAGTGAACTTCAGCAAAAAATGAGTCACAAGGTAACAGCAGCAGCAGCTGAACTAAGCAAAAAGGGTAAAAAAGGCTTAAAAAACTAAAATATTACAGTATACTGTATACAGTATGTACAATAAAAAGGGTTAAGAACACTTTATATACAGTATATAATGTATACAGTATATATATAACCAATTTATAGTACCTCCTGATAGTCCATCATATCTGATAATCCGGCACCACGTAGGTCCCATAGGTTCTGGATTATCGGAAGTCTACTGTATATCTCCTTCCCCTGTTTTTCTTTCTTGACTCAAATACTGAAAAAGTTTTCCAAAGACAAAATAGGAGTTCTATTAAATGAATGCTCCACAAAGCACTTTTGAGTATCTTTTAGGCAATTAACTTTCCGTTGCTGCTGATGACTTGATGGATTGTTTGAAACACCAGTGTCTACAGGTTGTGAAACAGAGAAGAGGAGAGATAGTTAATGTGTTGAACAAAACTGTATGCCCAGTACTCTCACCTGTTGGTGCAGCTACTTGTCTTTACCTTGTGCGTGTTTTAAAGTTTAATGTCAACAGACTTCTCTTATCATAGTTGTAAATGGTTTTCACTTTAATGTTTAAAATAATGTCTCTCTCATACCATTAAGCTGCACTGAGAACCTGTCATTCATAAATCATAGATGAAAAGGACATACTAATGCACAAATTTTGCTTGTTTAAAATTTGAGAGTGCATGTAAAGTAGGGAACTGAAGATTAAAAAAATAATGCAGGAACAGGTCTGGATAAAAGCAAAGATAACAAAGTGAAGGGAAGAGGCCTTTTAGTGTAGGTAGATGATAAAATCTTAATGAAGAAACAGGCATTATAAAAATCCACCCCTCCACTCAAGAGTGTTCCAGCTTATGGTTTCTGTGTATATGGTATTATAAATAAACATAAGCGCATAGAACTTTTACGTCATGAATTCATTCTGCTTTGCTAAATTGGACAATATGGTCTAAGAGCAACGAGTTCTGTCTTGGTATTTTCGGCCAATGCGTATATCCACTGAGATCACTTTTAAACAGTGGTTTTGAAATCACTTGACCTGATAAGATGTAGCATTTTCCTCCAAATGCTAGACTAAAATCATTTAAAAATAGAGTAGGAGATGGGGCACAGATTCCATTAAAATGCCCACCCATAACTTTTTTCTCCCTGATAACTTTCCCTAGCAGCACAAAATTCTGTGATGTTAGTGACATCAAGAACAGCAGAGCTGAAAACTTTTATGTATCTATGTGCATATATGACTCCCCCTTATCATTCTAGAATCTTCACAATGAGTGTGTAAGTATCCTTACAAGAACCCTGTGAGGTAGGGCAGTGCTAGTCTCCCTATTTCACAGACGGGGAACTGAAGCACAGAAGGGAAGGCTGTCACACCCACAGTGGTGAGACTGTGGGAAGAGGAAAGGGGAGTAGATGCTAGACAAGCAGAGGAGACATTGTCTACTTATTTAGTCCAATATTTTTCATCTTTAATTTTAGTCCATTGCTTATAGCCCCCTTTATGTTGCTTCCTGAGAACCATCTTCTCCTCTGCCACCTTTTCAGTTAACCTCTAGCAGGTGCTCCTAGATCTTCATCTCTCTATTTCGTAGCAGACTTGTCTGTAGGCTGTTCCCCAAAATTCTGTTCTCGGATCAGGTTTTTCTAAATGTACTTGCCATTTTAGTTGTCCTTCTCTGGGGTCTCACCAATCTAGTAATGGCTTTTTCTGGGTGCCTCAGAGCTCAGTAATATTCTGCTTGTGGATCAACTATTCTGCAAGGAAATACTCTCTCTAATATTATACCTGTCCATCTACCTTAGATATCACAGGTCAGCATTTGCTTTTTTGCAGCAGGGTCACACTGACCACTTGGTAGTTTTATAGTACTCTTATCCTCAGAGGAGGAATGTCATGTTAGGTTCAACTGAGTGCCCTCAACTTTCGTTGAATTAATTTGGAATTGGGGGTGCTTTGCAATGTCCAGGAGCTGCTAAGGATCTTACTTCCCCTCTCATTCACCTTCCCTTAACATCCATGTGGCACCTATAGCAATGCCTTTGTTGGAAATTAATTACCTTAGTTGTCCTTTCAATGCAGTATAGCAGCTGGAAATGAGAAGGAACATTGTTCCTGCTCTCTCTGAATTATCGTCACATTATCACAGATCACCAATGGTCCACAGACAACACTTGGGGAATCTCAGGCCCAATGCATCTATCTCAACTATGTTATGTCAGGCTTAAAGCAACAGTGTTATGGAGTCGTTTACTGTTATGGAGGCTGAATAATACTTGAACCTCCTAGTCAGCTGCCAAGAGGAATCAACAAGTTGGAAATTCTGGCCCCATAACACTGAATCTTCTGTATTTTATTTTCATTGCAAATTGTAGTGTTTCTAAAGTGGATGCCAATAATTTATTTGTAGTCTGAGTTTTCAGTCCTGGGTTCTGAAAGAAACAAGAACTATCTCCCCAAATCATTAGTGAAAAGCTTCAGAGCTGAAAGAAAGCCTTGTGTGGCTGAAAATGTGAAATCATTAAATTACATTATTTAAACAGCAGCAGGTCATATTTTTTAACTTCAGTACAATGGAGAAAGAAACGCATTAAACAGCTGGAGGGCTAGGAGATAGCCATTAAAATGAACTGATATGGTAACAGTAAATGTAGATAACAGATTTTTTTTAAGTCATTATTTACCTTCAGATCTGATCACATATTATTGTAGACATAATAGTGCCAAAAAAGCAACATGTATTGTTTACATTTATTAGATCTTGTTTTATCTTAACTTGGAAGTGTATCTTTAATTGCAGAACAGATATAATGTAAACAACGTGCACTCTCTCCATTCCCTATGTACATGCAGCTTAATGGTCAGGTATAAGATAGGTATGAAAAACAAGAAGAGACAGAGAAGAAATAAACTGCGGACTTCAATTGCTCACTGATCTAGAGTCCAGATTCCAGTTTTTAGAACATTTTCCTCTTTTAACTAAAATGATGCAGTCCCTATTCATTTGTATTCCCCTTCAAGTAACATGAAATAGCTTTCAGAGCCTACAGAATGTCTGTGTTTTACTTATGTATTTTAATGAGCACCAATGTCAGTAATAATCAAAATGATGTTTCACTTAGAGG